AGGGGACACCTTATCACCCTCTACAACACTCTGAAAGGAGGTTTTAGTCAGGTGGGGGTTGATCCCTTCTCCCAGGCAACTAGCAGCAGGTCAAGAGGGCACAGACTCAAGCTCTGCCAAGGGAGGTTTAGGTTAGATATTAGGAAGAGATGTTTTATGGAGAGAGTGATCAGGCATTGGAATGTGCTGCCCAGGGAGGTGGTGGATTCACCATTCCTGGAGGTTTCCGAGACTGGATGTGGCACTTAGTGCCACGGTCTAGTAACCACGGTAGGGTTGGACTGGATGATCTTTGAGGTCTCTTCCAACCCAGTTGACTCCATGATTCTATGATTCTATGTGGGCCCCTGTTCAAATCCTATCAGTCTGAGAATTATGACAGAGAGCCGTCCATTGCATCATGTACATGCAGCTACCGCCCTGAGAACATGGGCCAATAGAGATGAAAGGACACTCATCCTAGCCCTACTGAAGGCACAAATGAACATTTTCAAGTCTTAGCACCTGTATTTTGGCTTCAGTATAAAACTTAATTCTGTCCTCCATTCTGTTGCTACAGCACACAGAAAAGAAACACAAATTTGTGAACAGAAAGATATAAATGAGTGAAGAATCAAACACTGCCACAGAGGACTTGAAACTGAATAGCAAAGAAGGAATTCATGATGTAGATTATCTAAGATAAGGTTGAAGGTACAAAACTAAACAGAGCTATTGTCTATTGTCTGTTCTTTCATGTCATACCTTGTAAAAAGCCTTTTGGTTTCATAATTACAAATTTCCCGTGAGGCCTGTATGTGATCTGCTTCCCTGAAACTCAGTAAAACAAAGACCACAGATGGCTTCCTTTGATAAGTAGAATAATTGGAGAATAAACTGCATAGTGCTAATTCATTAGTTCTGAGGTCTTCATTTGGGATCTGTAAAAGATATATCTGAATACAAGTTTATCTACATAGGATGTGTTTTGAAAATGATAGGATATTGAATTGGGCTGTAATATAAAAAATCCATTTTAATGATGTAATCATCAATCATGGTATGATGAGACTATTTAGCTCAACAGAAGGCAAGTAATTCAAGCACTGCCCAAGAATTATTTTTAGGCATCTACTGGCAGTGTAGCTAATTACTCAGTTTATGTCCATAATGACTGAATAAACTCTGGCTCTGAAACAAATGAATAATAACACTTTGCATTTGCATAGCACTTGTCATCTATAGACCTGACAATTTTAAATGGATGGGCAAACATTCACAGTGACTATTTCCACTGAAAACAGAATGTCCTGAATAAATTGCTACTATGAAGGCAAATCAAAGCCTGCTTGAAAGACACTGCCGAATTTAGCCACAAGATTTAACAACCAAAATACAGAGAAAACATGTGCTATGCTTATATGAAAGGGTAATCAGGCAGGAAAACAAATTTTTAGAAGAGAGATAATTGGGTTTTTGTACAAATCTGAGATTAGCTGTATTTGGGACATAATGATTATGTGTCCAGTCCAATCTCTGTGGTCAATTATTAGTTTATGGAGTTGATGTCACCACAAAGAGCCTTGCAAATGCTTACTATTTTTAACTTGAGAATGACTCTCTGAGCTCACTGCCTGAGCTGGGATGCCTTCCCATAATGCAGGCAGGCTTGTGCCTGAGCTGAGAGACTGAGAAGAAATCTGCTACCTGTGCATGGTTATACAGGCAGCTGACTCCAAAACACATGTAGGCAATATTTAAATATAGAACAAACTGTGCCCAGATGTTCCAGGACCCATTCCTTACCAGCACTGTGTCCTGGAAAACAGCCACAGTGTACTATCATAGGCATGAAGGAACAGTGTTAGACTGGCCTGGCAGAACCAGAGCTGTCATGCTGCTTTTGGCTCTCAGCAGATCTTAGGTAAAAAATAAGTATCTGAAGGGGGGATGCCAAGTAGATGGAGCCAGGCTCTTCTTGGTAGTGCCAACCAATAAAATAAGAGGCAGTCGGCAGAAACTGATGCACAGGAAGTTCCACCTGAATACAACGCAGAACTTCTTTACTGTGTGGGTGACCACACACTGGAATAGATTGCATAGAGAGGTTGTGGATTCTCCCTCATTAGAGATATTCAAGAAGTGCGTGGACACAATCCTGAGCCACATGCTCTGGGACAGCCCTGCTTAAGCAGGGAGGCTGGACCAGATGACCCACTGTGGTCTTTTCCAACCTGATCCATTCTATGATTCTGTGAAAGCTATCCAAGAAAACCCAGGAACTAGAACTGGCTTGAACTAGAAGTGAAAAGAGCTATTTTATCTGCTTTTGGGTTGTGGTGGAATGACTTGCTGACACTGCTTTGCTACAGCCTTCTTCCCTACTCTTCTGTAAGTAATATTTTGTGTTTTTACATCAGAAGCCTTCAAAGGCAGGTATTTTTTCTTGCTGTATGTTACAGGATAGAGTGATACATACCAGGAATGGATTCTGATCTTGAACAACTTTGGGTTTGTGTGCCATTGCACTGTAAACATACCATTAGCAGCTCAACATCTTTACATATATGTCAATACTAAGACTTTTATACATTCCTTGTTAACACTTGCACTGCACCAATAACTCAAACCAGTTTAGTTTACATAGTCTGAGCAGCCCAATCATCCCAGCATTTAACTTTTATCTGTGCATTGACAAGACCATCCTCAGGTGATCTGCAAATATATGTTGCTTCAAACAGCCAAATCTCATGTTTGAAAGGTATTGGCTAATGTCTCAGATCTTCTGTGGCAATATAACACAATATAATACATCACTGTCAGCAGCTAAAATAAAGAAGGAGAAAAAAAAGGACAACTCAGAATTTAATGTTCTTATCTTTGCTGAATGATTTTGAATTACTGTTTCCAACACATAACAAATACAAGGAATTTTTGTTACAAAGTCAAATTTCAGTTCAAATTGTTGGCCAATTAAAAATATGAAGGGAGGATTTAAACTGTACTTCTAGACTACTTAATTATCTACCAGCAAATTAATCCTCGACTCACTGTTGCTCCACCTGAATGCTGCACACACTTGTGTAAATACGATGTAAGGACTACCTGTGTGTATGCCTGAGCGCTGATCTTGTTGCATGTGCCAGTAATTCCTATGATTTCACTCCTCCTAATTATAGAAGAATCTGCCTTCCCAGGGCACAGTTGAGACTTAAGAAATACACCAAACCAGAGTCAGAATTAAATTACTTTCAGCTGAAATTATGAAGCAATAAAGGTTGTGCTTGATGGCTGTACTTCCCTTAATGCATTCATCCCTCTGAAGTCAAGGCACAAATACGTTCTAGTGTTGGTGTGTGTGAACCCCATTCGTGCTAGAGGTCCATGTACTTCTCCCTCAGCATGGACCTTGAGTTTGGAACAAATCTTAACCCAAGTGAATCATGTAGTATGGAAAAGCTCTAGATCTCTATTAACTTTGTACTGAAGTTACAAGTCAATGCCTCACCAGGATGTTGCTAGGCAAAGATTTTACTTTGATTATCAGGCAATAAACTAATTCCCTGGAAATTAAAGTCAAATAACTTCATACATTCAAACCACCTAAGTTTTCAGGAATAATACAAACTTAAGAGTCTATTGATTGACTTGGTTAGAAATAGGAGTGTGTAGAGATTAGAGTACCTAAAAGACAAATTATCCAAAACAGAATTTCTTTTTAGTATTTTCAGATTAGAATCAATGTTTGCAATGTTTACAGAAAAAAAACTTTTCCTTCTCCCAAAACTTTCCTCTGCATGATGCTCTAGCAGATTTTTTTTTTCTTAAATGTTGCATAGCATGATAATTTTGCAAAAGATGACTCTATTTAAAGGTTTAGTAGTCTTTAGGTATTTCTGTTGGGACACTGATGGCTACAATAATAAAATATGTTTATTCTAACATTTTTGCCTAAATGCTCATTTTGTTTGCCAACTTGATAAGCTCCCTGTAGTGGCTTTTTTTTTGCCTGAACAGGATGTGGCACTGTCAGCTAATCTTTGAGAATCTAGGATGCATAGTTTCTTCACCCTGATACCTTTTACTCTGTGCTATTGACTTGTCTGCACTCCAGCAGCTGCAAACCTGCTGTGAAGAAGGTTAAGCAAGGACGAATGCTCCCTGGCAGATTCCTTTGAGTGTCTGAGCACCAGTCTGTCAGTTTGCAGCAGTGCAGATCTTGGGTAATATGCCAGATCTGAAAGACCAAAATTAGACTCAGCATTTGAAAACATGGTCTGATTTGACATATCCAGATCCAGCTTCCTGTGTTAGTAAACTTTAATCAGCTTGCCTTTTCCTGTTGTAATGAAATAACACTCCATGTTTTGACAGTCTCTGGCTTTATGGAATGGAAAGTCAAAATAAACAATGAAGACCACATTGAACATTCTAATACACAACCTCCAATGTTTCCTTAATTCCTAGGCCTAAACTAGACAGCTTATCCAAACATTTCCTCCTGTTGACTCCTTCTGCCCTCCACAGCATCCTGGGTTACTAGATTTCAGATAGGAACTTCTAATACACATAATCCAGATTGAAAGCAGAGTTTCATTAGCACAAACTCCCCTATCATAATTGTAATCTACAGTAAATGAATTAAATTAGCCACACCAGGGTCTCCCCTGAGCCCTCCCCTCCTCTGCACACAGACAGCAGCTATAAGCTGACACTAGGCTCTTGTATAAAGCTAGCACTCTACGTTCATTGCAATAGCAGCAGGTCTACAGGGTTGCACTTTCTAGGATCATGTCACTGCTTCTCCTTCAGCTGTTAGTGCTCTCATGTCTTGGAGCCACAGAGCAACAGGGAAATTCACAGCAGAGGAAAAGCAGAAGGCCATTCCAGCACTTTTCCTATCTGGATAAAAATCTGCTTCAAAGGCAGAGTTTTCATGAGCTAGTAAGGGAGAGCCCAGTAGGTGTTGAGGAAATCCTGGGAGCACCAAGCTTTTTTGTAGCAATTCCACAGACAGCATCTGAAAGTGAGAAGAAAGATGAGAAAAAAATGTCCAGATTCATTCTTCCCAATGCAGAACTCCATGCAGGCCAAGACCTGAGAACAAGGGCAGCACCCAGAGATATCTCACCTGTGGAAAACTTCTCTCCACCCCATTATTCCAGTAAGAAGGAGGCTGAATCTCCCTACAGAAAAGATGCCAAGAAATTCTGGGACCACTTCATTTTAAAGAAAAATTCAGCATCTGAAGAGGTTGTCCTGCCAATCAAGACCAATGAAATGCACCAAGAAAACTGCAGAACCCTGCCTTTTTCCCAGGTAAGAACAGATGTTCAAGATCAGTAAACATGTCCTTTCCCCTGCCTCTTGTAATCAGCAGCTAAAGACACCTGGGTTATTTCATTGGCTCAGTCACAGGGCTGCTTCAGAATACTCACACATAATAAGTGGCTGAAAAACACAAATGAAAAATCTTTAGTTTGATGAGGCAAATCACTAAACGGCAGCTCTGGAAAGCTGCATACTCGATTTTCAGAGAACTATTTATTCTTTTTGTGCAAAGAAGTTCTGACATAGCCTAAGCAAGCAGGGCATCTCGACAGTTTGTATATCTGGATTACTGATACATGTCTATGTGTGTATACACGCACAAACACACACCTGTATATAGAGAGCCCCAGAACATGTATTTGCAGGAAAAGCTGGTTGTTTTCTTACAGCTAAGACAGGGTTCTTTTCTGATGTATGAATTACAAGAGTGATGCATACCTCTAATTCTGTGCTAAGAATGCTGGAGGACTGGTGAATTGTCCCATGCATAGATGAAGCCATTCTGTCATATTTTAACATCAACACAAGAAAATATATAGATAAAAGTGCTGTATTCCTCATAAGTCATCACCTATTTTCTGTGTTTCTGTAATCACAGTCTGTCAAGGACCATCTCTTTTCCTATCCAAACTCAGCTGATTACACACAAAAATGTGTAAATATAGATGTGGCCTAGAAACTTGTACCATTTGTTCTGAGAAGAAAAACATGCAGTGTTTTGTGGGTTTGGGTTTTTATTTGTTTGGGTTTTGTGGGGAATTTTTTTGTTGGTTGGATTGGTTGGGGCTTTTTTATTTTGTTTGGGGGTTTGTTGGTAGGGTTTTTTTTGTGTGTTTGTTGTTGCTGTTCTTGTTGTTCATGCCTACTAGCAAAGTCAATGGACCATTTCTGTACCAGAGACCTTATACTGTTTTCTGTTTCAGGGTGTTACTCATAACAACTGTGAGAAGGTGATCATACAGAATAATCTGTGTTTTGGAAAATGTAGTTCCTTTCATGTTCCTGGTCCAGAAGATCATCTTTACACCTTTTGTTCTCACTGCTTGCCCAAAAAATTCTCTGTGAAGCGCCTGGATCTCAACTGCACTGGTTCTGTCCCAGTGGTCAAAGAAATTATGATTGTAGAAGAGTGTAAATGTGAGACTAAGAAGATTAAAGACCCTGCAATTGGATCTCTACTGTCAGATTTGCATGCAAAAGTACATGAGCACAATTAAACTGTGCAAAGTACCACATAACTTGGTCATAAGAATTTTACAATGAAAAAACCCAAACAAGTAAAGCTTTCGCCACTCCAGTACACAAAAATATTAAAAACATAGACTTTCTACTTTAAATTCCTCACTGCTTCAACAATAACTTTACCTAAAATGTAACAGATATTTTCTTGCAGCTGTTAAATGAATGGAGATGAGATTACTGGGCTTATGTGTAAAGGCCTTACTTTAACAAGGGAAGGCTTTAAAAATATTTATACCCTTCCTATCAGTGTTTCTAAGATGCTAGTAAACGGTGGCTGAAGAACTAACATGATGTGTCTGTACAAAAACTGAATGTACTGACTGGTTTACATTGCCTTTGCTTGCAGAGACTGCCAATATAGCTTCATTGGCAACCAAGATGACACTAATATACTTCACAATTTATACCCTTAGACAGTGGTTGCAAAGGATGTTTTGCCATGGAAACCACATACTTTCTTTCTACATGTCTGAATTTGCTCTGTGTATATTTTTTACTGAAAGCTTTCCAATGTAGGAGAAAGAAAATATAGAAGATGCTGTACTCCCCCAGAAAACACCACGAATGAGTGGATTGTTGCTATTTAAACTCACTGTGGAAAAAACAGTGCACATTTTCCCATCCGATGAACTTTAACATTGTCAGTGACTCCAAGATAAAGTCTAAGTAATGATCTTAACACTTAAACTAAAGCAGAAAAGGCATTTGTGTGATAGAAAATATGCAGAAGGACTATATTGTCATGACAGTACCTGAATAGCTTTATAAGACGAGATAAGAACACTCTCTGGTAGGAAGAGCCTGAGTCCAATACGAGGCATACAGCACCAGTGGTTGCTAGCTGAACCACTGGCTTCTCTGCTCTCTCCAGCTGCTTCTCCCTGGATTTCTTTTGCAGACCTGGCACACCAGACAGAGATCAACTTCCAGCGATTAGAGTTCAGCCTATTTCTAAGCCAGTTCTTTCAGTCCTCTGGGAATCTGCTCCACTGCTGTTGCCAAACTCTCAGACCTGGGCCACTGTTGTTAAACTGTCACAGCTCTTTTTTTGGGTATCAGAAACCGGTATTGATTTAGCTGGTTAATTCAAGGGTTGGTAAATGATTCCTTGTATTTGAACTGCAATGGGATTAGAAGTGTCTCACTATTCTGTTAAAAACATAAGCAGCTTGTCTTTGGAGTGCAAGTCCCATGCAGAGTATTTACTCAAAGTTGCATCTGAATTATATTCTGACACTGGATCTGAACTGCTGCAGTGGCTTTTTGTTTCTGTAGGTCACTTGCAGTGAATGAACTGAAGATTAGTGTATAGTTACCTTTCATTATCTATAAACTTGTTTTTAAATAATAAAAAATGCATACTAAAACTGAAGAGTCTTCTCTCCTTTTACATGAAGGACTCCTGTGCAAACTATGCATGGCCATATATATGTTATAGCATGATACACAAATTCATTCGAACTAACTAGCTGTCAACACTTTATTGTGTGTGATTATTAGTGTTCATTTGTAATAAGGTTTAAAGAACAAAACCACATAATGCATGAAAGTTCTCAACTTTTTTTCCCCTTTATTGCCAACTTTATTTTTTACTATGCAAAAAGCTAAATATTCTGAGATGTTTTACTCAGAATGCTTGACCCATGTTTTAGAGCTGTGTGAATACATAAGAATGTTTGTCCACATTTCTTTTCCTGAAATGCAAGTATGTTTTCAGGTTTGATACTTGCAGCGAACCACTTGCAGGTAGGACCTACATACACTCCCAGTAAGATAACAAGCCAATTAAAAAGAACAATCTTCCAGTCTTGTAATTTTGACATAACTGACTGATAAACTGTGAGTTTTGCACAAGGTTGGCAGAACTGAAGCTGTATTGTGGACTGTAAAGTATTCAGCCTAATTTTTTTCAGCACCTTCTGTGTGCTGCAGCATCACTGCAGTCAAAGAAAGCTATCCCATGTAAGGAGTTTGCAGGACAAGATTTGCAAAGAATTTGCACAGAAAAGTAGGTGAAAAGAGGTAATGACAGCTGTAGCAATTGCTAATTAGATTAGTGCTGTATTTTTTTTGGATGTGTGTTTAATTAACCCAGCAATGACTGGTTGAATGTAATTAGCACAGTATTCTGCAAAATCATTCAATGTGTTAATTGGATCAGATTTCTCAGCCCTTAAAAATTCCATATTAGTAATGTGTTGTACCCAGGGGCTAACAGGATTTTGCTCTCTCAGCACAATGATGGCCTCTCCAAGCAGAGTGATGTGGATCAGAAAGGTGTGGGGTGTGATCCATATCACTATATAGATGCTTCCAGTAGTAACACCATTATAGCAGCAAACCTACATGACTTGAATTTAGTTGTGTCTGCTCAGAGGTTGCATGCTTTCCGTCATGAAAGCTCTTCCACCTTTCAAGGGTAACTATGCTGTTAATGTAATGTATTTCAGAGCACTCCTGTGCAAACCTATTCTACAGAACAAGACTAAGCCTTTAGTCTGAGACAGAGAACTCTCTCAAAATTCAGATCACTTCTAAGTAGAATTTCTACACTTCTGCCTTTTTATTTGACCTACCATCTCTTTTCCAAGTGTGTGTTTTACACAGAAGATAATTTAAGAGTAGTGCTGTTTCATCCCAATTTTTTAAGCAAAGTAAGTCTTCAGTACAGGCTATTATCTTCACTATGGATTTCATGCAGCCAGCTTTAATCAAACACCAGAGTCATAGCAAACTCTTACTGAATTCTGCACAACCATATATTATTCCAGGGGAAAGTCTCTGAAGCTGCATTCAGTACTTCATGTTATGCTTGGTACTTTGTTCACAATCTATGAAATATTCACAGCTAACCTCATGGCTCTCAGCTGACTAACTTTTACTGACAGTTGGTAAAATCTCTTGCAGTACTTTCTCCTAAATGTACTGGCTCCTTGCTGCAATAGCAAAACCAGATTCCCTGCTCAGACAGATGCTCTCTGCCAGGCTATATGGTTGCATAATCATATCAGGTCTGGGAAGCATCTGGGAGTGTGTGCTGTGCAGGATGGTGCATGTGAAGAGGTATGGAATCTACCTTGAATCCTCCATCAGACAGTTTGACTGCAGAAATAGGAAACATTAATAGTGAATTATAAATATTTTGCATTTGCTTTTGTGCTAGGCATAACTCCATGAACATCTGGTATGTAGCCATCAACATCAGCTGCCCTGAAATCTCTCCCTGGCAGCTGTGCACACTCCCTTGGCTCAGATGAGAAAGATTTGGGATTAAAAGACTCTGTAGTTGATCCTGTGCAAGAATATTGATAATTGTCCACACTGAGAACAAAATCATCCTGTTTACAGTGCCTCATGCTCCATGGCACCTGCAAAATGTGCTTCAACTTGAAAAGCAGGAAATGGAGCAGAAGCAAAATTATTATTAATAACACCAACACTACTACTACTACTTCTACTACTGCTTCTTCTTCTACAGCTTCTTCTTATACTCTTCTATTGCTACTTCTTCTTCTACTCCTTTTACTACTACAGTCAGGGCCAGCCTTATGTTTCTCTAAGGCCTTTTCTGATGCATTTTTTGTCTTCCTGGTTTAAGGTATTATTACCACCAGTCAGTCTCATGTTCTGCTGGTGGCTGCAGCCTGCAGTCAGGGTGTTCAGGCAGAGCAGCACATTGCCTTTCTGAACAAGGGTGTATCTGTTGATGATCGTTCAAACTCTCGCTGTAATAGACATGGAAGCATTCCAGCAGCCTGTTGACCTGCCTGGTCTTCAGACAGCAACTCCTGGAGGAAGAGAGGCATTAGAAGAGCTAATGCTAGGACATCTGCAGCTGGACACTACCTGATCAGAGTTCCTCACATCATCAAAGTGCCTCAGATGAAAATTAACCCTCCAAAATTAGACTATTGCCTGATCTACCTTAGTATACCATGCAAACTGCCTGGGCTGAGGGACCAGTAGATTTCACCATGTCTGCTACTGAGGCAGACATACATATCTTGCCTTTGACTTTTCTGGCTAGTAGATCAGAGTGAAAATGGAGTCTGAGAGACATTTTCCTTCACTTTAAGTTTGTGACTGACAGAATTTTGGGGCCAAGACAGGTTTTGTTTCAGTGTGCTGTGCCACTGGCACAGACGTCTGTCTCCATGACACGGATCTTCATGACATGAAGAATTTTGCTTCCATTCCAGAGTTAACAAGTGTCTCCTATGTACATTATCAAGGTTTACAAAGAAGTGAGCAATGCAATGGTGCTGCAGAAAAGAAGTGGTAGTAAAAAATGGTACAACTGAGAAGGACCCGGGAAGCTGAGTACTGCTGAGAAGGACAGTTTCTCAGCCCAGGAGATACCTGACAACACCCCTTCTGCACATTGATCAAGGGGCACAATTGGGCTCAAAATGAATCCTGGAAAACAGTCTTATGAAGCAAGGGGCTTGTAAGCCATAAGAATCATGGGAGTCACAGTCCACACTTCTCTCTTTCGTGTGCTCTCCACAACAGAGCATCAGCTGTTCCTGCACATGGCTTGATTTTAGCATGCTGATTTAATATTTACAGAGTGCCAGTAAAATCTATATGATGACAGCTGGTGGCTCCTGTGGTAATTTATAAACAGGAAAAACAACACAACACAGACATTAGAAACTCCAAGAGAAATTCTACACTAGTGTGCAGTATTCAGCACTGAGTAATGTATTTTTCTAATTTTGCAGACTTTTAATAATCTGTGTGTAATACATCCATATTGGATTTTATGTAAAGTCCATAGTGTGCAAAGTTAGTATTTCCCCAAGGTATGTTTTTTTTCACTCAGAATGGAGGTCATCACAAAAACTCACTATCTGTCTATCTACATATCTATCTGGATTTGATATTCAGGCAGAGGTTCAGGCAACATCTATAGCCTGAGACCTTTTGGTTGGGAAGTCCAGCACACAGTTGTCTGCTTTGCTTCCTGCACTGT